CCCGAGGATTGTGACGGTATGTCCGGTTGGCAGCATTTCATCCACAGTCATTTGGGAGTGAAAGTACCGGTGAAGGGTTGCGTTGATGCGACCGATCGCATGCCACCAATGAGGAAACACCAAGTCTCAATTACATGGTTGACGAAGTATTTTAGAGAGCATTACGAGAGTCACCCCCTAACCGAGGAAAGTCCGGAGGATGAGAAGGAGAGATATGCTCATGTCTATCTCATAGGAATGATCGGAGGAGTGTTCTTCTCCAAGAAATCAAGCAATCTCCTTAGTTGTGGATGGCTTAGGATCATCTTCAGTAGTTGGGAGGAGATGGGGGAGTATAGTTGGGCATCCGCTTGCCTAGCTATCATCTACAACAACTTGTGCAATGCGTCTCTAAAAGCCGTGAGGGAGGTCAGCGGCGCAATGTTCATCGTCCAATTTTGGGCTTGGGAGCATATGCCATGGCTTGCACCGGCCCAACGTCCAGACAGGGATTGGCCAATCGATCATCCCCTAAGAGGTGAAGCTTATGGAGCAAGGTAAACTTCTCATACCCCATCATGTAGTCATAACACATTTTGTCTTGTGTTTTATCTTATTGTAGTTTCATTCTTGTCTTATTAATAAGGTGGCTTGGACACACAACATGCGACAACCTTGCCCAACACAAGTTGGAGGAGTATCGGAGGAGGTTTGAGCGACTTTGGGAAGGAGAGGTAACTTCTATACTCTCACTTGAGTTGGTTGTGGCAATACCCCATCTTTTCCCTCCATCTTTATAAAATGTCCACATGGATAGGTCGTGTCCATCCAGCCACTGTGCCCCTTCAGGGCATAACTCGCGCAGCTTTTGCAACTTCTCCTGAAATTTTTTCTCCTGGTATGCAACCGCTGAATAACACACAGAAAAGTCGTATGTTAGTCAATGATCCTCAATTTAGTACAATTTCAAACTGCACGGTCGGACTCTCGTTAGAATCTTAGGAGAGGTATACATCTCCTTAGAAACACAGCCTGTTTGACAGAAAAAGGGGGGATCCGAAGATCGCTTAAAACCCGATTTTCCCAGGAAATGGGAGGACCATCATAATCGCTTAAAACCCCATTTCCTTAGGCATGCATCTCTTTAGAAAGAGTCTAACAAGTGCACCACTCCCGATATTACAAGATATTGTTAATTGAGAGCAATAGAGAGGTTACCAATCCACCACAAATTATCAGCTAGCTTCTTCTGTTTGAAATGATGGTTCCAGTTGCTTTTGAAGTGTCGTATGCACCACCTTTGGGACCAATTCCAGGCTGGATCAAGGCCTAAGATGGCTGCTCTAATGCCGGCGTGCCGATCAGAGATTATTGTCAGGTTCGTCCTCCTGGTGACGTGGATTTGGATTTGTCGGAAAAACCATCCATAGCTATCAGCATTCTCTCCCTCAACAATGGCGAAGGCTAAAGGAAAGACTTGTCTGTTTGCATCCGCCCCACTGGCAATCAGGAGAGTGCCCTTGTACTTACTGGTAAGGAATGTACCATCCACAGTAATCACAGGGATACAAAAGCCAAAACCATCAATAGAAGGCTTGAATGCCCAAAACAGTCTGCGAAAATGGCGTTCGTTACCTGCCTCTGGGGGTTGTATCTCTTCATCTTGGTATTGAGGGGAGAACACAGTCCCAGGGTTAGACGCCTCCAATGCCAGTATTAGTCTGGGAAGGAATGCATATGATTCTTCCCAATCACCATAGACGGCGGCCATAGCTTTCTGCTTTCCATGCCACGCCTTCTTATAGTTAATCATATAACCAAAACGACTTGCAATGTCAGCGATTATGACTTTCACCTTCAGATCCGGTGCAGCCTCAATCAGATGCTTGATAGCCGCAGCAACCACCCTGGATTTCAACTGTCGATGGCCTTGGGAAGTTATGGATGACACACATGTGTGTGTGTTGACCGCACGGGATATGACCCAGTGGCCGTGTCTCTTGCTGTTGATGGCCCGAATCCTAACATTGCACCCCTCGTGATGATTACGGCATCTGACTATGAGCCTTTTGGTGTTGGAATGAGTTGTGTCCCATTCAAAATGCCGAGTCATTGCTTCAGTCTCAAGGGCGTGCCGCACATCCTTCTTCGAGCCAAATTGTTGGCCCTTCGTAAACCCAGTGAGTGGGCCCCATATTGGGACCTCTGGCGGCTCCATGTCGCTGTCGACCATCCAATTGTCGTCTGGAATGTGATTGTAGTAGGGGACTGGTACACGGTCAGGAGCCACATCATGATCATTATCTGAATCTGAATCTGGTGCTGAATCATCAGCACCTTCAAGAGGGTCTGAGCTGTCTGCACTGACGTTGTTCTCTCCTTCTTCATCAGAGGGGTCACTGACTGGTGCTGGTGTGGCAGCCTCCATCTGATCCTGCTCATGAAAGGCACCTTCATCAGCTCCATAATGGTAGTTGTGAAAACTACCGCTGCCTGTCAAGAAGTTGTACTGGGCTTGGTTGGGGATGTCCGGTTGAACTTCTTCTTCATATGACGAGAAAGATTGATGATGGCCTGCACCTTGCCCTCCATCTTGGTACTGAAAATAGGAATGAGGATCATGGTAACTTTGGTAGGGATGATCGTCATATAATTCACCTCCACCATGGATACCAGATGTTTGACCGTGTCCAGAATGACCTCCAACACTAACGGCTGGCTCGGTGTAAACGAACATCTCGGCTTTGGCCAATTTGTTGGACCTCAAGAATTCGAGCATGGAATCTACGTCATCTTGAGTGGTTATGGTATATTCCTCATGCCACAATGACCCAGTGGCTCTGTTTGGGTATCGGTACACCATACGATCTACCCTCCTCGTGCCATCCATGCAAGTAACGTCAGTGCATATTTGATGGAGGTCTTCAAGCTTCGGTCTGGTACCGACCGTTATTTTCTGAAAATTGCCACCGACGTAGGTGGCCCCCTTTCCGGTCTCTTCCGTGTAACCATTCCACCGTAAGCCAAGCGTTAACTGACGGAATGCCATCTGCACACAAACAAACCGTAGTTTAGTTAATATCATAAAAATCACAAATCACAAATAACAATAAAAAGTAACACAAAATAAACTTACGAGTTAATGTTAATGGCATAAAAAGTAACACAAATTAAAGTTACGAGTTAATGTTAATGGCATAAAAAGTAACACAAAATAAACTTACGAGTTAATCTTAATGGCATAAAAAGTAACACAAAATAAACTTACGAGTTAATCTTAATGGCAAACACACTAAATAAATATAGATATACAACAGAAAAATGAAAGAGAGAATGAGAGGTGTGAAGAGTAGAGGTTTTCCGGCAAGTCTTATATAGGGGAAAAAATTGTGAAAACCGCACCTCTAGGGTGCGGTTTTAGTCTGCCATGCAGCCCTACGTCCATAATTCTCTGCATGGCTGTGTCGGGTGTCGGAAAATTATTGACACGTAAACCACACTTCGGGGGTGCAGTCTACATGGCAAAACCGCACCTTAGAGATGCGGTTTGTTCTTGGAGGAATAAACCGCATCACTAAGGTTCGGTTTAGGTAGGGCAGGCCTAAACCGCACCTCGGCCATGCGTTTCATGTAGGCCAGACATGAAAACGCATGGCCAAGGTGCGGTTTAGGCCCACCAGAGTAGAACGCACCCTCCAGGTGTGGTTTACATTTAAAACGCACCTGGGGGATGCGGTTTATATGTAAAACGCATCACGAGGGTGCGGTCAATAAAATAGGGTGCTAGTTTTGTAAATATTTTTGGGAGGGTGCTAGTTTTGTAATTTTTTTTTAAAGGTGCTATTTCTGGAAAAAACTCCTAAAAGTCAATGGCAAAGTCCGGATTTAAAGTGAGGAAGGGCTGACAATAACAAGATGCAACATGCATCTTCCCACGATTGAGCCTAAATTTTGGAAGAGGGGACCTAATAGCCTCCATCCTACGAACATCTAATGCTTTCTCAATATATAAATATACACATAATAATCTTAGATTACAATTTGGGGTGCGTTTTAGCCCCTCCCAAACTACATGTAGCTTAATTACGAGAAGCAGCCATGTTGTCGCATTCTCTCCCACGAGCGGGACAAGCACTCCACGTTGTTTAGGAGGTGGAACCATGTGTAGCCATACTTTTGTTTAGTAAATAATATAACGAAGTCGAATTCATTTTTCATTCATCACTCTTGTTTTTCTACCTCGACTTTTCATGCATGGTAGACTAGATATTGTGCATACACAAAGTTGTTAAACCCCTATCGGGCCCCTGATTGGACCCGGTTGGACCTGAGTCGGGCTTCAAAACGGCCTACAGAAAGCCCCCTAGTCTGACCCCTAAAGAGGGAGAAGAATAGAGAGGAAAGGGAGGAGGGGGAAAGAAGGAAGGAAGACGGTAGGTGACTCATGGATGTTAGGTAGGTTATATTTTGTGGGAAATAAGTTTTTAATAGATACATGTAAAATAAACTTGTTTTTAATAGATAAATAAGTTTTTAATATTTCATTGCAGTCGTTAATTTTTAATGACTACCTTATTTGTATATATTTTTAGAAAACTTATAAAATGGCTTAACCCGATCGAAATCCAATAAGACCAATAAACCTCAAACCCCTTTCTTGACCGACTCAATGACTTAACCCGGTTTGACAACCTTGCGCATATATGGTAATCTGGATTTTGATGATTCAGTGCATGACAGCAAGAAATAGCGCCTACATTAGAACGGAAGAATATTCTATAGCCGACAAGCAATCACACAAAGACAATCCCTGGATCACCAATCAAGAGACTATAAATAAAAAACACAACATTATACATATATGGGTTAGACTAATATACTTCAAATACACTATGTATTTCTAATGAGCTATCTCTATCCATACCGTCATACCGTGAATTAAATATGATACTATTTCTAATCTCGAATATATAACCTCAATCCTTCATATATATATTTTTTGAAATGAATCCGTAATTCTCTAAACTCAAAGTCAAAAATCAATTTACTAAAAAATAACCGACAATTATGATTCATCAAAGTTAAAGCTGCCATTCATCAATATATATATGTGATTTTGAAGATCGAATATAGTTCTGAGTACAAGGATAAATTAACTAATATGAAAGATAAGACATCATCCCGCTAACAGGCCGGGCAAAACGCCAGTGCATCGCCTGCAATTCAAAAAGACAACAATTGAAAATCTCATGAAACGTCCAACAATGTAGTGTAGCCCGAAGGGATAAAATGTCATGGTCACCTGTCAATTTTGCAATTCGTAAATTTCAAAGAGAACCACACATCCACTCCGTTCCTTGTTTTTTCCCAACAGGGGCTTCTTTAGCCACCAAAATGAATCCAACAGAAAATCCCATTAAATTTCCAACAATATAGAACAGAGGGTTACAATGTCATGGTCAACCTGTCAATTTTGCACTGCCTAAAATTTCAAAGAGAACCACACATCCATTCTGTTCCCTTTTTTCCTTTAGCCACCAAAGAGGAATCCAGCAGCTTGTTCTTCATTCCCTCCAAACAGTTGAAGAGCTTGTATCACAGCTTCTCTACCAAACCCAAGTTCCACGAGTTTCGCAACTTTGGCCTCAAAATCAGGGCCCTACAAATCAAAGATAAATGCTTTAAACTAAAAATCATGACCAAACAATAACTGACACAGTTACACAGACCACGAGACGTTTTCTTTTTCCAAATCTAACAAAGAACCAACTGCCAGTTGATTAGCACACATCAGTACAAGCAAAGGGAACATTTCAATGACAATGTAAGACCTTAGGTAAAGAGAGGAAAAAGGAACATTAACAACAGACGTTTACCTGCATCACATTGCCGCTAGCAGGTCCTGTCAAAAGGGAAAGAAAGGATCAAAATACTACTCATGGGGATGAACTTAAGAACTATTGGCATTACATAGACAAGTCCTAGAAATCTCAAACAATCAAAGATATGGACCCAATCCTTAGCTTGTAAATTTGGCCAATCACACAAGTATAGTTCCACTTCATCCAAGATTTTCAGGAAACTAACCAGATGATGATGATGATCCTACTACTGGAGCATCACTCTTCTTGTTTGATGCTGCTTGTACAGCCTGAAAACACAAAAAGATATCAATACAAAAGAGTACATTATTGTTTGGACCTCTCAAAGAGAGAATTAGAGCTTAAGGGAACTGTAATTTAAGACACAGGTTTTGAAAGTTCAGATAGTTCAATCTCAGACTGAGGTTGCAAGTACAGGCAATAGTAGCTCCTTAAATCAGTAAGACACATGGCCCAACAGCAAAACATGTGTTCTTAAGATGACTATTTCATGTCAATTGTCACCAAAGACATCGCGGGCCCTCAGAGGTTAACTGAATTAAGATGCAAATAAAAATTTGCACAAGTATCCTGTCCATAAGATTTCCAATTTCCAAGGCTTTACACAGGTTGGAATATACGAAGCATGCCAACACTTCTAGTCAGACAGCCGAGCAATTAGCGCAATATCTCGAGCAATATTCCACTGGCAGGCTTTCAAACTAATCCTAACAATATAAGTATGTAAGAACTCATTCTACAAGTTTAAGGACATGTAGGGAATAAAATAAATAAGTTCAACTCCATGCCTCATTCGGGGAAATCTTGGCATTTGTCAAATTCCTAGAGGTTAGTAAATCAGATACCATAGCAACCTACAGAGAAGTACTACTACCAGTGATAATCACAACAATGGCAGAAACTTACCAAACCAACAAGAGAAGTATGCTTACCGGGTTTCCAGAGCTAGATGCTTCTTTGGAGTATCTTTCCTCGTCCAAGAAACGAGATGGGATGTCTTTCTCTGAAACATTGGTAGTTCATGGATACAGTAACCAGTGAGCAGCTAAACATCATAAAGAATGAGATTTGTAGCACACAAAGGACAAACAATAGACCCCAATGTTTAACAAAATATCATTTCTAACACGCTACATGCAATACCACACAAAGAACACACATCAGAGAAATGCACAAATTACATTAATACCTTGCAAAAATGGTACTGAAACTTCGCCACCGCCTAACCGTAGAACATTCTCCTTTAAATCTATAATGCACTGTAGACAAGGGACTAGGTCAGAAAAGATCCAAACTTAGGGGAACTCATGCTTATGACATACGATGATTGTACCTGGTGCTTGCGGAGCATGTCAAGCCCAAAGAGAAATTCCATGTTGGGAGAATCCAGCACCATGAAGGAGCAAGGATAGAATATATTACCGATCTACATGAACAAAAGTAAGTTACCAGATAAAGCAGAAGTCCACTGTAGACTGGAAAGGTATGTGCAGCAGAGGTAATAATAGATAATGACTTTCAAAAAAAAAAAAAAGTAATAATAGATAACCGTTACTATGATGATAGAAAACTGTACCTTGATTGGAGCTACATGTATTCGGCCCAATATCTCTGACTGACCAACACCATGAGCAATGCCTTTGTAGCGCTGATCTAAAAGCCTCAGCAATCTGTAATAAGTCAGTCCAGTAATAATTAAAGCAATGGAGCATCCAATGAGTTGGTTCAGATGATGTGGCTATTTAAACTATCTCACTAATAAATGGGGATTGATAAGTTGTTTTACTCGGATATCATCCAAGATAAATCACGATGAGCGTTAACAAGGTGGAACATCCAGTGAGTTGCTTCAAATGATGTGGCTATAAAAAACTATCCACTAATAAATGTGGATTCAAAAGCTGTTTCACTCGGGTGTCATCCAACATGAATCATGATGAGCGTTAACAAGGTAGGGTACAACTCAAGTAGGAGACAGAACTTATCTCGGAATATGAAGATTCAAGTTATGAATGCTACTACATAATGACAAAATGTAGAAGGGATGTACATGCCCTAAAAAAGGGCATCATGTAAATTACAAGATCAGAAACTCATAGCAGAAAATTGGAGATACTCTCCATAACCATAACTTATAACTTCAGAAGTTGAACACTAGAATAATGGTTGCTTACCCAATTAAAGTTCATAAAGTTGGTTCCTAAAATGAGAATCATTAATTAAAGTGGAACTTTTCAAAATGATAGCCTGGAGACTTAAGAGCTGAAAGTGCACCCTTCTAGCTGTAAGTTCAAAGACTTCACTATGCAGTAAGACATGTGATGCTTTAATTCACAAATCATGAATGACAATAGCACGTACCCACATTTTTCAGCACAGCTTTTCGATATTATTGTTGATTGAGCGCCACTATCAACAAATGCCTACAAGAAATTAAAGAAATTATATGTACTATGATCCAGCTTCCAGCATAATGAACATACTAATCATACAAGAAACACAAATGAAGAAATTGTACTAGAAAAAGTTCATTTATAGTCACTGCTGATAATGAACCAGTGAATTGAGGTAATAACATAGCAGACCAGTCACAAGTGAGAGCAGGAATAATTGGAGGATGAACAGAACATAAATTCTAATAATAGTTGTAACTTAAAACCTCTACCTTCAGAGGAACACCATTGACCTCCATATCCACGTACAGCATAATCTGAAGCATTTCAGACAGCAGCCAAATCAAAACATACCATGTGAATAGCAGCGGTGGTTAATAAGGTTGAAGGGCATACTTACCACCCTAGCAAAAGCTTCAGGATTGTACTCCAGAGCTGCTTCCCAATTTTCATCAATGCCTTTCTGCGTATCAGAATGAAAGAAGAAATTAAGTTATCTTGACCATGTGAGATTTGTGGCATGCACATTAATAGAAGTCAACAATATACCAAGAGTGTCTACTGAACCAGTCTAATCTAAAACTTCTCAATTGGAAAGGTTATACTGCAAGAGAAAATGCAGCTCAGACGTAAGAGAATCTGGGAACAAATGAGCACTAGCAAAGCAGTATGAAGCATCTAGAATGCAATTTAAACCTATGAGCACCAATTTCCTACACAGACTGACAATAGCATGTTATGAGCTTGTTTGTCCCAGGAAAACAGAAAAAATGTGTCTGCTTGTCTTGGCCATCACTCTCCGATCGGTAAAACTGACCTGGCGAATGGCAGCTTCAATTTTCTTTTGAGCCTCAACATCAAAAGGATCAGCCTCGAGCAGAGCCTGATTGAACAGGAGAAATAATAAAATAAAATGTCATCTTCTAATTCATTATAACTGGAAAAGGAGAAGAAGAAAAAACAAGTTAGATAACGGCCACATGGGAAGTTTTATGCTTTGATCTAAAGTTTCATACCTATACATCAATTCTGTTTGTTTCAACCAGTAGGAGACGCTTAGGAGAATTTCCCAACATGAGCAAATAGTACAATTTGAATCAAGTGTGATTAGAAAAGTTGTAAGTTAGCGTTTTGTGACCGAGGAAAAAAATTAACTAGGTGGATGATTGTAAATTAACTAAAATGACCCCATAAGCTTTTCAAGTTTTTTAAGCAACAAAAATAGAATATGAACGTAGATGAATTAAAGATGATAAAGTAAATTGTGGGGTCAATTTATTGAAATATTGCAAGTCTAAAAGTTTTAAGCTGGAAGTGTAGAGAGGGGTCCTAGGACCCCACTTGGGAAAAACGGGGCAACATAATCCTTTAGATGTGTACGGTTTAGTATGATCCTTTGTATTTAGGACCCCATACTTTTGTTGATATTAGCTCATCTAAGGACAACAATCAACTCAAAGTTCATTAGATACACAAACTAAAATGTTTAAACAATTTTAAGAACCCCAGTCAATTCCAAGTCTGACTACGCCACTGGCTACAGGTGACTACCTGCTGCAACAACTGGAGTTTTTATCTATATCTATATAATACCATTCAAACTGCGACTCATGGCTCAAACCTCTGATCGGTTGGAAGTTTAATCCACCTTTTACCACTAACTCAGCCCTTAGGCTTTAGATATCAATCTATTTTGACTTTGAGTAGTGGGAATAGTAATTAGGAATAATGGTAAAAATGAGTTGAATAACTTCAAGCAAATAACATCAAAATGAAACAATGGTGTAGCTAGACAGAAGTTACTCACAAGTTCAGCCTCTTGCTGAAGGTGTAACTCAGATCTTTGCCTCTGGCGTAGCTTCAACAGCTCCTGCAGTCTGTTGAGATCATTCCCAAGAACGAGTTGTGCAAGTTCAGGGTCAGCCTGCAAATAATATAAAGAAAACAAAGAAGCAACGTAAGGTAACCAAGTAAGAGAAGAAGCACCACAAGGAGCCTCGGGTAAAAGCACAACAGCGCTTTACACTTCCTACTACAGATGTTCATGAATCCCAGTAGTAAATAAAGTCACCAATCAGCACCGTAACTGGACTAAATCCAAAAGTAGGAGCACAGGCTAAGGCGAACTCATAAAATGCATGTTCAGATAGCCAATTCCACAGCTCCCAAAAAGAGGATATGAAAGTAGGGGATAAGGCGCAGAAAGGAATCTCAAAGCTTCCAACTATAGCAGCATCGTTAATATGGGAATGTAATGATCATATATGCATGGCTCCAAAGGATAGAGCCAATCACAGACAATAAAGAATGACTAGTGACCTGAAACAGTTGGGACATTAAATTTGGATCACGCCGAACATGCTCTTGAAAGGCTGCAGCATTCTCCAAAGGGACATTGGAACGGGAGCTCGTGCCTTGTGAACCGGGGCTGGGGAAAAAAAACACCTTGTATCATTTACACACACACATATAGTATTAAATAACACAAGGAATCGAACATATCAAGCAATGCCTCCTGCAAGCAGGCAGAGCTCAATTAAAAGTAGAGGAAATATTTCTCATAAATGTGCATGCAAACTTTTGAAGGAAAATAAGTTGACATAAAACACAGAGAGAGTGAAGTGGCTAGTACCATACAACAAATATGACCAATAATGAGGGACCAGGCGTCCTAATGAAATGTCACAAGAGTACCAGAAAGGAAAAAGGTTGAACGGAGAGAACATAGCCCTAGCAAGAGACCTTCATCAACGAAAATTACAAACATACAATTGCATTTCTTTGATAGTTACACCCGGCTGCTTGGTTTCAGCAAAATTATCATAGCCAAGTAGACGGCTCCTGGACAGAACCAATAATATATGCTTCTATGCACTTCAAGTTTTAGAATTTACATATTCTGACTGCCAATCCTAACACATGAATATTGAGCAATACTGTAACTGAGCAAAGAAAGCTTAACTACAAACAGCATACTGCTAGAAGCCAGTTAAATCAGAAGTGATTTGTAGTCCAGGCACCAACTAGATGAACATGAAGGCTACTCTATCAACCGTAATAATTAATAAGCAACTAACTGAATCATCGACATACCCTTGTGCCTTCGAAACCATCATTATCAAATCATCGTCTTTAACACCCAGAGCACTCAATTTCTCATCATTCCTGATCTCTCTGCCATTATACAACAATTGTTGTTGCTGTAGAGGCACCTGAGTCTGTCCATAGATGAATAATAATGATCAGGAAATGAAACAAGAGAAGCCGTTAAGAAAGCACCCAATAATGTAAAAGAAACTACATTAACAAGACAATCCGAGCTCCCACTGTGCTCAAGTTTTCTTGTTTTTTGGTTTCCAAGAAACATGAATGAAAACAACAGTAGCTTATTGTGCACTGGATTCTCAAGCTCTTGTCATTCTGCTTGCAGGAAACAAAAACGAACATAATATAACAGCACAGCAGTAAAAGGAGAAACATCCCACCTCCACCTCCAGCAATGCTTTTATGTTCTCAACCTACAACCGATGAAAAAAGAAGAAAGGATTCGGAATGAAAAGCGATATACAAAAGTGAACACAAACCAAGAAACAAAAGTAGAAGCCATGAGAAACAAGAAAGCTCGGGGGGAACAGAGTAATTACAGTTTCATTGGGATCGACATCCAAAGAACTTATTTGCTCATCAGAAGTCATTACAGTGATCCTCATGGTTGCAACAGGCCAAGAAGCACCTAGCAGAACAAATTCGGTGATTCAAAATATTCAGAAAGCACCTAACTTTAGAAAAGAGGAGCAGCATTATCATAATACATCCATGCCCAGCAATGCAATTGAGTAACTTGAGCTCATACTAGCAGGGACACAAATTACGGGGATAAAAAGTTTAACCTAATCATGAGAATTCACACGGCGTCCACTCCAATTTTTACATTAATTAGTCCAACCCATTTCTATTTTCCATTCTCAAAGACCTATTGGCATCATAAGCAAGTCCTAATAAGTTCAAGAATGCTAGAACCCCTTTCCATATGATAACACTCTTCCCAAATCAACTTCCCAGCAGAAGGGGAGGAAAGAATACTCAAAAAGGTTTTGACAATAATAGATCACTGACCAACCCAAGAAAGAACAAAATCGAAATCTTGCTTTAGCTCGGAGACACTCCACTTTCGATTCTCGAACCTGAATGTCCCCCTATCCCAGTAACTCGGACGACTGGAAAGTCAGATGCCGATTCAATTTCTCGATGAAGCCCAAATTCGTTTCGACTTCCTCCCTTTTTCTTCGGGCCCGGACTCGGTAGAACTCGTGTCGTGGGAATTATTTCCGCGTAGTCTCCTTCCAAGCCCTTGTCTTTCTTTCTCTCTCTCTCGATCAGAAATCAGAATAGAATGAGTAATTCTTCAGTTCTCCGGTGTATTCAGTGATGATCAAAGGTTGTGAAACCGGATTAAGCAATCAAACCGGTTTGACAATTGGTTTCAGATTTAATAGTGAATCGAATTCAACTGGTTCAAATCGGTTTTAACATAATATGTGAGAAAATCTTTAATACCAAATAAATTAGGGTTAATACAATATATTAGCCACAACTATTATGAAGCGGGAAATTATAGCCACAACTATGAAAATTCAAATTATTAGCCATAACTATTGTTGCAGGTCAAGATATGGCTAACTGTCTGTTACTGTTATTGAATTTTTTACGGAGAAGGTCACGTCATCGGCCACGACAGCGGCCACGTAGGAATGCTTTTAGTTTATAACTTCAAAACATCAAAATTTAGTCAGTATTACTAACGAAATTGTTAACAGATAGTTAACGTTTGGCTAATAATTTGAATTTCAATAGTTGTGGCTATAATTCCCCGCTTCATAATAGTTGTGGCTAATATATTGTATTTACCCAATAAATTATGCATATATTTGACATATTTTAAAATAATCTCACTAATCTACCAAATTGTTTTCAAATGGTTAATAGCATTTTGTACCCCTCTTCTATAGAAGGGTATGTTTGTGCAAAAATTTAGTAGAGGGGTAAGTTTGTTAATTTATCAAAGTAGAGGGGTACAAAATGCTATTAACATTTTTTTAAAAGAAATATCAATTACAAATTTATCAATCCTCATCTTCAAACTTGGTTTTGACTAGTCAAATCACCTTATTTTGATTGGTTCAACCCAATTTTAACTTTTCTCCCCACAACTTGTTCAACCAGAGTGTATTCCAACTGTGTAAATGACTTGTTCTGGTCATATCTGGTTGAACTGACTGTTCTGGTGAACCGCCCGACCATATACATGTTTGCCAACCTTGGTGGTAATATTCGATTCGGTTATAACCGATAATTAGGTATCCGGTTATGATTGACCATTAATCATGTTTGGTTAGTGAAGATCGAACCATTTAAGTTACTAGATATCACTAAATTGAATTGGATATCTCGAAAACAACTCTTTTACGATGGAATTTGATTTAGTTATCCTTGAGTCTCATGATAATCTTTACCTAATCGAAAATCTGGTTTGTTCTTGTGCTAATTTTTTCGCGAAATTGCGACTTCGAGATGGGAATTTTGTGGCGTCTCCTTCGAGCTTCATCATCGTCAATATTGATGATGACACGTAAAGTATATGATTTTAGCATCTCATTTTTTGGCATGTTTTTCATCATTTTTACATATCTTTAGCCATTATGAATTGAATTGCTCGGTATTTGCCCAAATGTGTATTTAGTAGCTTCTATGTGTGTGTTTAATAGGGTTAATGATATTCGGCTTTAATATATCGTATTCTTGGACTTTATGTGATTATTTCATGGTATGTTTTAGCCGATTGGTGCTATTTTAGGGCTCGCTAACTCGAGAATGGTTGAAAAACCATTACTACCTAGTGCCATGAGTTTGATATGTTACAGGTGGAAAAAGTACGAAAAAAGAAGCGAGTGCACAAGCAATTAATCGGGCTCGAATTACGGGTGGACTACTCGCTTGGGCTCAAGGCCCAGCAAAATTGTTTCTTTGGTGAAAGAAGAGTGGCGGCCAGGGGTACGCATATTTTGGGCCGGGCCTGTTCATGGAGGCAAATTATTGGGACGGAATCTTCTGGACCTGGGGTGTCATTCTTGGGATTTTATTGGACACAGTCTCTGGACACGGGGGGAATGGGACGGAACAATTAAGAGGGGAACGGAATTGAAAAGGAGGGAATGAGCTGAGGAGAGAGGTCTCGGGCGAATTATTCTTGGAAAAAGAAGCAGAGGGCAGCGGAAGCTTGGGACGCGAGCGCAGGGCAATTATCGATCAGTTTTTCAGGCGGCTTGAGCTGAGTTCAACGAGAGCGATTAGTTGGTTGGATTTTCTGAACCGAACTAGTTGTGTATTGTTGATTTAGAACATGATGAACAAAACCCTATTGTTTTATCTTAATTTTATCATGAACTAAACCCCAATTTCTGGGGGAAACACCATAGGATGTAGCTAGTTCTTGATTTGATGGATTGATTCATGATTCTTTTCTTCCAATCTCTATTGCATGAAATTCCTTAATGCTTTGTGTTGACTGGCCACCAATACAATGAATCGTAGTTAATTAGGTTATTAGCGACAGTGAAACCCTAATAACTGAACCTATTTCATGTGACATAGTAACTTATCGAAGCGACAGTGGACTAAATAAGGTGTTATGCGGTCTTGATTAGGATATCGATCTTCAGACTATATAGTTAATTCATTGAGCTACGACAGTAGGATTTGAATTGATTATTTAGTACGTAGTAATTCCCGACAGGGATAGCTAGCACAGTAGTGATATCCTGGCTGTAGAGATATGGATTAAATTGATTGGAATGTGTGAATTAATCTGGATAGGATAGGTAGTGAATCCCGGTGTTTCTCCCAGAGCTTTCTCCCATTGATTTAAACCCGACAAGTTTAATTTGCTTAATTAGTTTAATTATTTTGCTAGTAGTTAATAATCTCATTCAACAAGTTTCACCTATAGTTTGCTCTACAAAATTAATAGAACTTAAGGTTGTACCAGTCCCTGAGAGACGATACCCGGACTTTCCGGTTTACTACAAGATAGGATTAAGGCATACGCTTTTGCCCTATCAAGTTTTTGGCGCCGTTGCCGGGGACTGCCATACCTTGTTTTTTATTGATTTTTGTGAGTGAACTTTTTTTGATCTGGGTGTTAGTGTGCAGGTGAATTTATCAGGTTTATCCTCCTTGTGCATGCCAAGGAGGACGACTGGCAATTTACTGCCACTTGATCCAGAGATAGAGAGGACCTGCCGACATAACAGGAAGCAGGTCAAGTTAGGGAAGCAGCCTACCACATCCACAACTCCTAGGCCTTCCCTAACCCAGAATCGTCAACCGAGAAGGCAGGTTTCACCACCTGTCATCCCGACACCACCGACACCGCCACCGCGCATCATCGAGCCGGACATCATGGCAGAACAGGATCGTTCGATCAGGGCTCGTCTGAATCGGAGGACTGGAGCCCGAGCTTCATGTGTGGTCATTCCGGCTGGGGATGCAAACATGGAGATTACCCCAGCCTTCATCAATATGATCACTAATGGGTACACCTTCTCCGGGGCAAGCACTGAGGATCCTCACGAACATCTCCGCCGGTTTGCAAGCATTTGTGACACAATGAAGAGCCCGGCTGTGTCTGATGATGCCATCCGTCTTCGGATGTTCTCATTTTCTCTGCTAGGGAACGCATCACACTGGTTCCAGAACTTGACACCCCGTTCCATCACAACATGGGGTCAGCTTGAGAAGACCTTTTTGGATAAGTACTTTCCTCCTGCCAAGGCAATGAAAAGGCAAGAGGAAATTGTCACTTTTAAACAAGCTGAGGATGAAAGTTTGACCGAGGCATGGGAGCGCTATAAGGAGCTTCTAATGAGATGCCCGAGCCACGGTCTTGAAGATTGGAACGTGATCTCCATTTTCTTCAACGGAATCAGAAGACAATACCGAGATGCTTTGAATAATGCTTCCCGGAATGGTTTCACAAGAATGGAGGCACCAGAAGCATATGAACTGGTGGAGAAGATATGCTCTGAAGATACTGAATGGGGAAGTGAGACCGGTATTCGAAGGAGAGGAGGCTTGCATGAGATAGACAGAGTTGCAAGTTTGGAAGCAAAGATTGATGCTAAGCTGGACTCCAAGTTCGATGCACTCGAACGAAGGCTGGCTAAGTTGGCTCTTGGTAGACATGAGGAGGTTTCTTATTGCGAATTATGTGAAGGTGCTCATCATAGGGATCTATGTCCACTGGTGGCTGATCAGATGGAAGATGTGCACTATATCAACAATCAGAGAAATCAAGGCCAGGGAGGTATGTACTCAAATACCTACAACCCACAATGGAGGAAGCATCCTAACTTTTCCTGGGCGAACAACAACCCAACTGGTGCTCGCAACATTCCACCTCCAGGCCTGCAGAAACAACAACCTCCACCTCAACCAGAGAAGAAACCGCAACTTGAAGAATTGCTTCTGGCTCACATGCAGAAAACTGACAATAATCTGAAGGGCCTAGATCAATTTGTCACTCAACAGCTAGCCATCAACAATAATTTACAGTCATCTATGCTAGCTATGGAGAGGCAGATGGGACAGATGGCTCAAACTCTGGCGGATATGCAGGGCAGGATTCCTGGGACATTACCGGCTAATACCGAGAGGAATCCAAAAGATGCTAAAGTTGTGGCAGTGACATTGAGGAGTGGAAAGGCCTTGGAAGACCCTAGCAGCTCGAAAAAGGCACCAGAGGCAGAAGAGGAAGCACCGGGAGAAAGATCTGGTGCAGAAAATGAAGAATCAGCCTTGCACAGGCAAAATGAAAGCGGTTTGCCTGTGCAAAAGCATGCTGCCCGTGCAAAACCAACAGGGGAAAATGAGAAGAGGGAGGAGCTAAAACCTTATGACCCACCCGCACCATTCCCTCAAAGGTTGATGAAGCCCTTGGAGGACCCGAACTTCAAAAAATTTGTGAATCTCTTCAAGCAATTGCACATCAACATTCCGCTAGCTGAGGCTCTTGAGCAAATGCCCACGTATGCCAAATTTCTTAAGGAATTGTTGACAAAGAAGAGAAAATGGACTGATTTGGAGAAAGTAACACTCACACCAGAGTGTAGTGCTGTTATCCAAAATAAATTGCCAGAGAAGAGGGAAGATCCAGGGAGCTTCACCATCCCATGTATTGTTGGTGAGACAGAGTTTACAAAGTCGCTGTGTGATCTTGGAGCCGGCATAAACCTCATGCCATATTCTGTTTATAAGAAGCTGGGACTCCAAGATGTGATCAAGCCGACTCGAATTACTCTACAGCTGGCTGATCGATCAGTAAAGGTCCCCAAAGGCGTGGTGGAGAACGTGCTAGTGAAGGTGGGGAAATTCATCTTCC